CATGACAATGTGCTTATAATGCAAATTTATGAAATACAAATAAATAATTAGTCCATTCCTTGAAGAGAATGTGACTTGTGATGAGTATGGTGAATGCTCGACCATTCTATATGAGAATGGGTCCAGATATGATAAAATCATTATGGGTTGGATATATGTTACAACTCACCTCTATGGAAGGTTTGAGAAAAAATGATACATGTCACTTTTCATCTCTACGGGAGATTTGAGAGGAAATAAATTTTATTTGGCAGAAATGGCTAATTGTATTGTACGTTTTATACGTCACTATGGTATGAACTACCGAAAGGGCAAAAGAAAGAAATAGTTCTTGCCTATAAGGATTGTGGTCATTATTGTGTGGCAATACAAATTGTCATTGGTTGTGTACCTATGGTACAACAAAAGTAAAGCAAGAAAGACGTCTTGCTCGTAATAATTTTGACCATGACAATAATAATATAATTTCCTCCTTGAAGGAGATGCTCACCATAGGAATGGTGTCATGCAATATGTAATAGTACACAAAATTAATTGCAAGCTCTAACGAGTTGTGCTATTATCAGAGGAATAATATTGGGGTTGTAGTAAGTCTCAAAAGAAACTTTTTAAGTTTCGGATGAATGAAAATAAATATTGAGACTATAAATCACTACAACCGAAGAGGGTTATAAATGTTTATGTAAAAGATTACCCCACTTTTCCTCTTGTTTGTTCCATACAAACATGTACATGCTGATGAAATCACATGTAAAAGTAAATTATAAGTGTACTAAAATAAAGATCAGTTGGCATGACTGGTTGACCATTCCGATTAAATGTGATGCAAACGTGATTGAGAATTCAGGTGATTTATATGATGAAGAAATAAAGATTCTTCAAGAATTCTCTTGTGTTGCTTGTTCTCTTGATAAAGTGATCATTGTACCAGCTAAGGTTAGGACTGTAATCCCCTAAAAATTTTGGAACATATAAAAGGGTGAATATGGGCCTGTTCACCTGTCATGTGGATCATTTGCAACTATATGATTAATGCATCTATGTGATGGTCACATGTATTTTGTTGTCAACTTACAAATTGATTTTTGTAAGGTTGTTTGCTCGAATTGTTAAAATTAAGAGCACAGTTCCAAACTATGAAATTATATTGATAATGCTGGTTGATTTAGCAGAAATTGTATGCCTCCAATTATAGCTAAATCATGGTTATGAGACAAAACTCCCAAATAAGATTTGGTATGAGATAATTTTATTTAACATGTAGCAACACATGTATGCATCAAACCAACAAGGTTTCCCCATTAAAATTGGTTCAGGGTCAGGAACCATATAATTTTCATCTAAATTGTTGAATGTGCGGTCATGATTTTAATTGTTCCACCACGCACAAAGATGAACTTCCAAATAAGGTTGGAATTAATGTTAGATTTTCTAACATTAGGGGGAGAGATGATTGACAGCTGAAAATTATGTGTGAGGTTAATTATGAATTATCTAGATCCTCGTTAAAATAAATATGTGAACTTAAAGTTCAAGGGATAATTCAGTTGCATAATGTTGCAAATCAGTTGCCAGATGAATGTACTGACCCTATGATATAATTCAGCTGCAAATGCTCCAATGAAAAGTCCTTGAAGGACAGAGTCTATGATACGCCGGAAGCGTAATAGACCAATCGATTCCAAATATAAAATTCCTTGAAGAAGGAAGGAGCAAATGATCAATATGGTCATGATAATGAGGCAAGTGCTATAAAAGAGCACATTGACATAACACTTCATAAAATCTTGAAAAAGGTTCAGGTACCTGAAATAATGAAAAATGAAGAGATCTCGATAAGTTATGTCTTGTTGGAATCGATATCAAATAACCGTCGATGGTATCTTTGATACGAGGTAGCGCTCAATGATATAAATTGTGACGAGGATCTTGAATTCAAATCTGTCATATAGTATGGACAGATAAATGGTTGACCTAGTAAAATGCACAATTCAAGTATATTTTGTTTCACTTAGAAAAGTGACATTTTGGACTGGTAGTCCATAAATCAAGGTATATTGTCAGTGGGGTACAAATAAATTATTATGCGATAGTATAACCGTAAGATATCAAATACGATTTGTGCCTTGGGGCATAAAAGTTTATCGCAAAATCCTGACATTATTGGAGATATTTTCTCCTTTGGTGGATGCAATGAGGTTTGTTTTGATCTGGCAACATATGAAAACTTGAATGCATGTAAATGAATAATTGTAATGTCTAGCTAGACAATGAAGGTTATATGAAAATCCTTGAAACAATCGAGGTGTCTGAAGCATATAAGAGTTTGAAAGAAACTTTTCCAATAAAGCTTCAAGAATCCTTATATGGATTGAAATAGTCAAGGAAGAAAAAGAGTACAAAAGAATGACCCTAATAGTCCTTGTATTTTTATGAAAAGGTCTTGGTAAGACAAAATTTTGTCTTGACCTACAGATTGATAATTTGACAAATGAAATATTTGTCTAACAGTGCACATACACTGAAAAGTTTTGATGCAATTTTATATGGATAAATCGCATTCATTGAGTACCCCAATGATTATGAGATCACTTAACATAAATGATGATTCAGTTTGATCTCAAAAGAAGGATGATGAGTTTCTTGGTGATGAAACTCTATTTTGGTGCAATCAGGGCACTAGTACATCTTACTAACAATATTTGACTAGATATTTGTTTTGCAGTAAATTTACTGGCAAGATTCAGTTTCTCCCCGATAAAAGGACATTGAAATGGTGTTGAACACATGATTGAATATCCTCGAAGGGCCACAGTTACGGGCTTATTCTATTCCGAGGAATCCAAGACAAAATTGATTGGTTACGCAGATGCAGAATATTTATCTGATCTGCATAAAGTTCTATCTCAATCACGCTATGTGTTTGCATATGGAGGCACAATAATATCCTGGGGATCAATGAAGCAAATGTTGCTCTGCAGAAATAAAAGTCCTCCATGAAGCAAGTCAAAAGCGCGTCTGGTTAAGATAAATGACACACCATATTCAAGAAATGTGTGGTTTTTCTTTAAAAAAGGAATATACCAACCACAATGTACGAAGATTGGAGACATCATCACAAGAAATTAAGTGATATTTTAATCAGGGGGAGTACAATACGCGTTGCACTCTTTTTCCCTTGATCGAGGTTTTTTTTTCCCACTGGGTTTTCCTGGCAAGGTTTTTAATGAGGCAACAAATGGTGCGTATCAAAAGATATGTGTACTCTTTTTTCTTCACTAGAATTTTTTCCCACAGGGTTTTTCCTAGTAAGGTTTTAACGAGGCACATTATCTATGGACTTCCAAGGGGGAGTGTTATAATTTCATTGAATGAGTGGATAGTCCATAAGGTTGGTACATGAACAACCATTCATATTCACTAGGTTACATGAACCTTTTTGGATAAGAATGTATCTATTTATTATGATACTTAATATGGTGACGTTTAGAGTGATTTCTCACTCTATAAATAGGGTTGTTCATTCACTATTGTAATAGATACATATGAGACTTGAATACACTTGAATAAGAAAGAAAATTCCTCTTCTATCTACTTCTCTTGTCTTCTTCTCTTTATAATTATATTCTTATGAGCTTGATTTTATAACAAATTCTATATATCTTTTATTTTTGCCTTATTAATTTCAATCAAAATTATAACTAAAATAATTAAGTATTAATTAATAAATAATTTCAATACTAACTAATGTAGGATAAATTGGAAGAACATTCTAAAAGAAGTCTTGAAAATTGTGAGTTTTATCAAAAGTTGTGACTTTTATAAAGAGTTGAGATTTTTATGAAAGATTGTGACGTAAAGTTGTAACTTTTTCAAAGAGTTGCTACTTTTCTGGTAAGGAACTATACATTTGTTCGCAATACCCTTTGTTGTCTATAAATAAAGGAGTTTTCTCTCATTTTAAAATAATGAAAATTTTGAACTTCTTCTCCTGCAAAGTTAAATATTTGATTTTGAACTTTTTCTTCTTTTGCATAATTAAATACTTGTGTACTTGACAAGGAGACACTCTGTATTTATTAGGCTCGATTTTTTCTTTCTGTCATTATATTTTAACAAATCCTGGGATGTTTCTTAAGTCATTGGCTTATGCTTATGATATTCATTGTTGTTTTTTAATACACGTTCTAAACTTTGTTGTTTATGTTTTGTAAAGTTTTTGTTATAAGTATTTGTTTGTATACGTAAATCCAACTACGGCAAATTCACAAATAACTTTTTACAGATGTATTTATTTATAACATTCTCCAAAAAAATCTTTTCTTCTCGATCAAACCTAACAATTTATATGATCCATCTTTTAATGTTATCATAATTATTTTAAATTAATAGGAAATAAAAGAATATAGAAAGTCAAATGATAGAATTAAAAGAAACACTTAATTTTAATTATATGCTATACAATTATGACTATTCTCACATCAAAGTATTTTTTTGAACTTTTTCCATTATCATTACTTTACTTTCATTGTTTCGAAGGATCCTTAATGTTTTCTTTGGGGCAACTTCAATTTCAAAACGTTATCAAAGCTATACTCACTGCGTCTCATTTTATGTCATTCTTTCTATAAATAATTGAACCACAACACTTGTCATTTTATAAAATCTATGCATAAATTATCATATTTTACCTGTTATACCCTTGATAAAGTTAATTAATCTTAAAAATGTATTCATCAATTATTATTATAAAATTAACTTAAACATCAAATACAAGAAACGTTTGATTGCGCAAAGCACAGCCCCTTTACTAGTTTAATTTATTTGAAATGGAGAGAGAAAAAACCCACAAAATGAAATGATGAAAGAGAAGTTCCCAAAAAACTCTACGCTATTGAGATATGAAAGTAATAGGGGAATAATCTAGTAAACTAATCACTTTAGTTGAGCAACGTGATAAATTAAAACACAACAAATTAAATGAACCTAGAAGAAGTATGCTCGTATTTCTCTAAAGCCGGTCCATAATGCGCATTAAGTTCCAGCTTATGCCACATAAACCATTTGACAAGCTATATACTATTTTTGTGGACAATTCAAAAAGCAAATGATTTAATTCCACATATAAAGCACCATAAATCGTTGGAATACTCCTCACCCACCATGATCATCAATGGCATTCTCCCTAGCGACCAGATAAATATGCAGCGATGTTTACCAACCAAAATAAACCAACCCATGAACACCATTTTCACGTATGTATGTATAAATCTATGTTTTTGAGGAAATATCTGAAACTACTTTACAACGTGAATGACTTATATCGACTCCAGAAACAAGGCTTCTTGTTTGCTGGTCAACCCCAGTTCGTCCAGAGACACAGTACTCTCTCCGTCACTGAAAGCACGCCTTGGGTAAGGTCTTACCTGCATGTAGTAGACATTGAATTAGCAATTATTCAACATCAGTTTCTCTTTTTAATAGCTGTGGTGTCCAACACAGACGAACTGCAAGCAACACGACTAATTTCGCGGGATACCCTGTTACCACCTACCAGTACAATTACCAGGTAATCTGTCCACCAAGAATAATTACCTGTTGTCTTTACCTTCATTGGGATTTGAACCAACTCGTGGTTCTCAACCCGCTTCATCTTTGACCACTAGGCTACATCCACCCACCCACACTATCTAAACCAAGAAAAATGAAGTACATAACCAGTCTAACACGTGTATGAACTCATTACAACACAATTATTTCGCAAAACACAATTACTGTCAAAGTGAAAGTTCCCAACAATTTTGAATGTTGAAACAGCTCTTGAGCAACAAATTGAGGAGCATTTGTTTAGAAACATATATTATCCAAAGTTCCCAAACCCCAACAAATAGGAAAATACCACTCTTAAAGTTAAAAGAGAGTTACCAATCTATATGTGCCGGGCTTGATCACTCTGCCGATATCAATGTAATCGAAAAGGGACTGCGAAGCACACATTGATCCAGTTAATTATTCATAATATATACCATAGAATCTGCAGTAATCATGTCACCTCAACACCAATATACCTGTAATCTATCAGATTTGAGAAAGCGCCGGCCTCTGCGGCTGCCATCAGGCATACGCACAACGAGATTCACAGCATTCTCATTATCTGCTGTGGGCTCCTGAGGAAGGGAAGCTTCTTTTGCTGCTAGTTGTCTCTCCATTTCCTGATCAATAACTGAGTCAGGGATTCTAAAGCCATTGGATTATCTAGACATTACTCACTACAGAGATGACATATGGATTTCCCAATACCTTTACAAAGATGACATATGGGTTTCCCAATACCTTCGAATTTAATAACAATCACAGTGAAGGAGAAATGAATTTTTTACCACCTAAAGGATAAACCATTTTTGTGCGTGCATGTACAAACACCCTATGACATGTACAAACAAAAAAAAGGCTGGGAGCATATCACCCAACTAAAATGAAAATCGTGTTGAAGAACAATGATGATGTAAAAACAAATAATTAAAGGAGATTGAATGACAAAAAATCCACATTACTGATAAAATATGTGAGGGACAAAAGTGCACGGGTTTCAGTGTTCCCATTGTTTCCCTTTTTAGGCCAGAGATATGGTGCTTTATACCTTTTCCTCCTCTGCTTTCCTTCGTAATTCCTCCTCCTCCAGTCTCTTCTCTTCAAGTGCAGCTTCAGCTTCTTGCTTCGCCTTCAATTCCTTTTCTCTATCAGCTTGCAATGCAGCATGATATTCATCATCCTACGTACAAATATTAGAAGCAGAATCAGGTGAGTAATAGCTAATTTAATTGCAGCTGAGGGCTTAAAATGCTAACCTGCTGTTCCCGAAGTAAACGCTGTGCCACAAGAGACGGAGATGGGGCACGAGGCATGCGCCATTGATAGGGGCCCATAGGTCCATCAGCACCATTCTGAATAGGCTGACGAGGTGCAGATGGCAATCGGTATCCAGTACCCTCAGGTATTCCACCAAATATTGCAGCTTCAAGCATGACAGCTTCATCATGCTCCAGGGATGACATGCCCCCCCACTTAAAGGAAATCATATGGAAGTACAGGGTAAACATATGCACAGTCCAAAGCCAAAATGACTATGTATGATGAGATCTACCACTAAAACAGCGAAAAAAATACCTCATCAGACTGGAAGTCAGCACCGTTTCTTGGGGAGTGATTAAGATTCTGTCGAGGACTTGATAATGGGCTAACAACACGTTCTTCGACATCCTGAGCTGTTTCTGAACCTGAAGATATAGGTTTTCTTCTGCGCCAAACCAGTGGTTCCTCTTCTAAATCTTCAGCCTCATCTTGGATGGATGAACTCCCCACCTCTGATCTAAATTGCCTGGGGAAACTAGTTAGGTTAATCCAAAAACACACAGAAAAAAGCTCTCTTTACTCTGACAAAGTACATACATAAGGGTAGGTGTAGGTTGAAGCAGGGATGCCCCGCTTGCAAGTGTGAGACGGGTAAGCAATGCGCAAAGAGATACATAGAGAAATTTTATCTTCACAAAAAAATATTCTAGACAATAACTAGTACCTTCCATTTGAAATTGTTGATTTTCCATGCTCATTCTCTTCAGCTGGCTTATAACCTTCTGATTCTGGTATAGCTTTACTTCCTTCATGCATCGCTTTCTCCTGCTCAGCAGCCTAAATTTCCTCCGTGTCAGCATGAGAAATACCAGCTTAGAAAAAAAGTACAGCAATAGTAAAAATGAAACCTTCAAAGACAAAGAGACTGCACGTGCAAGTTCAGCATCCTCTAGATGAGACTCCCTTGGTTGAGGCCTTGAATCACTTAGATCCTGTTGCATGACAAAAGAATATCAATGATGAAAGCGGAAGAAGCTCTAAGGACATCACAACTAGCAATATCACTACGTACACTGTTGACATCAAATTGTTGGGTCGACATTTCAGCATCACGTCTAGAAGCTTCAATCGCAGCACGAACCATTTCCTCCTCAATATCATTGGCATAGTCTGGTAAGACATCACCACCAGGAGCACTTGGTCCTGAGAATACTGCTGTAGAGTCCCCACCAAAGATATCATCATTTGTTCTATCACGCCTGACAGCACGTGTTGCCAGGGGACCTGGAATTACTTCATCATCGTCATCGTCCTCCTCAATTATGACAGTCCCACGAGTTTCTGGGCCTTGAGTCTGGTCAGCGTCTGTAACATCCTCAATAACAGGAGCATTTCTAGAATGACCAGATTGTCCATCCCCATCCTTCACCTCAATAGGGATCTCTCTTACTTGTCTTGGATGTGAAACAAACGGAGCACGGCTAGTAAGATCGGTGTCAAACATACTTCGAGTGAAACTAGGATCAAGAAGGGAGAAAGCACTTGGAGTTCTAGAAGAGGAAAAAACTGAAAAGGGAGGTCTGTGAAATTCCTCTGTAATCGGATCATCTATTTCCATATCATCCTCGTGTGGAGCAGCAGAAACAGGTGCTGGATGTACTCTGCATAATTAGAAACAATCAGCAACTGACAGTAAGTAAGATCATTATAGCTTCCGACAAAATATAAAAAAGGAAGAAGAAGAAATAATCAGCTATCAAACAAGCACAATGGGGGAGCCAATGGACAATGTACTAATGATACCAAGGACATATATTACTAACCTATTGATGTCCCCCTGGTTGAAATGCGCATTCACAGCTTCATTCAGACTCCCGCCATGCTCCTATCAACACATCATGCAAGATAAGAAAGCTATTTCATTCAAAGAACAAAAGAACAGATATATGGAGTTCCCATATCAAGTGTAGTGGTTTTTAAGTCGAGCACCGAGAATGACAATGGCAGAACATTTGCAAAATATGTCCTGAAGATGCAAAAGAGACACTAAAGTGCATCTCCAACCTTATATCAATCAATAGATTGTCTAGTAACTTCTATGAGATGATAATAGAATATTAAAATTCAAGAAGATAAAACACACCTAATGAAAGAAAAGCACTCGATCAAAAACAACCATCTCACGGATTTTCTTTCATGCGTACATTGAAGCTTCTACTACAAGACTCTTGGCTTTCTTTATTCCAGGTGGCGGGGAGTGATTGAGCAAAAGATGGTCATGTATCGGAAGGATAATATAGTAATTAATTAGTTTAAGATTAATTGTGGGGGAGATATGAAAATTTGATCACCATCATTTCCTTGCAGTAGATTTTAGATCTATCGAGTATGGCAGGGGAGGCGAACCAAGATCCTATGAGCATTAAGTTCAGTTATACACGCAACTTTTTTTCTCAAAAATATGTAGAGAAGACAAAAGGACATGACGGCATTGCTTAGATTCTCCTGAAATTCTATCATTTTCTTGAATACAACTTGATACATCACATGTATTTTTGACCAGATTACCTCTCTATTCGTCGCCCTCTTATACCGGTAAGATGGGACTGAAAAGGAACATCCAGTGGAGCACTCACCCATAGCCAGGCACGCCTTATTTTATTTTTTTGGAGGGGGGTTGTAGAGGAGAACATGTTTTTATGGAATATCAGCTATCTTTGTCTACTTAAAATAGTGGGATTTTCTTTTCAAATTCAAGGCTTTGGGATTCCCGAGGATTCTTTCTTTCAGATGATTATCAGAATGCCTAAGGCACAGACCCCTCAAATTCAAAAAGTCCTGCACAAGGACATGTATATTAGCTCGTACTTAGTTAAAGCTCATTTGACGTCTGACTGCAGGATGTTTGCCGCTAGCCACTTGTGGGTCTTGTGGAAAGAGAGTAATAGAAGGAACTCTCGAGGTATTAGATCATCATAGATGATTTTATACATTCCGCGATAACCTCCTTTTTTCAATAAGGTAAATAATTCTATTGAAGTGTTTGGGCAAAAAAACTGCACACTTGTTGAATACCCCAAAAAGATACTGACAAAAGATGTAGTTTTCTATGAACATCATCCAATCTCTCTACAAAGAGGAACCTCATGGATGCACAAAAAAGAAATAAGGAACAAGAGGTTACTCCTTGACTGTCCAAATCAATCTCTGCTCCAAACACTTTCTTGTTTCTCTTTCCTGACGTGCTAATAGAGAAACCCTCCACACCCAGCATTTTCTCCTCCATCCTCCATAGTCCCAACTACACGACCTTCTTTCAGAATACCTGGCATCACCCAGATAAACCAAACCATTCACACCATAAGCAAAAAGCTAGCCTACAATGTAGAAGGTGATCCACGTCTTCACCCACGCCCTTTCACACATATAACAGAAGGAATAGACTTCTATTCATAGTTCCTCTGGTGCATCCTTGAGGTTGCTGCTGTATAGAAAGCTGGGTGACATTTGTAGAGAGCAATATAATTATGTAAGTTCTCTAGTTTTTGGTATATAGTCTTGTGTATGAATGTTTTCTCCCACATTACTATCGTATTTATCTTGCAAAAAAAGATATCTGGCTGCACAAAACACTATTACACTACAACAGATGAAATAGCTCCAAATTAGAAAAAACAAACCAGTAAAATTGAACACCACAACCAAATAGAGACCTATCTCCAGATCCTGAAGAACAAACTGTATCAAACAGTCAAGAACCAACTTCTCCTCATTACACTTGCCACAATAAGCAGCACTACGTTATGCGTGACTTCGTCAAGTTCATATCCAATTCATCCATATATACATCATGGTACAAATTAAAAAACTAGTAAAAATAACTCCCTCTAAACCAATTTGATTGGAATTTTTAGCTTGTAGAGAGTCAATTTTACAAACTTTTGGAGCTTATTTGCAGTTGATCTATCCCTACTAGAAACATGACTCTCCACATTTCAAAATTGTGAAAGAATACATTAGATATTTAGATCGAATTCACTTAGTTGGCAGCTTGGAGAAACAAAATGTGTCAAATGTTTTGACTCTGGAAAGTGGCTCTAGTTAGACAAATTAAACATTAACCTCTATGCAAAAAAATACTAGATGAAGCTAATATCAGGAACTATAAACAATCCGAAAGCCTCCAATTGGCAACTTCAGTTACCAGAACTTTAAAAAATGTTTTCTCATCTAAATTTATTTTCTTAAAAATCTAGATATCCAAAAACTACACAAAAATACTTCTAGTTACAATTCTCCTAATATCATACCAAAATAATTTCAAAATGCTGATCAAAGTTCTATAAGTTTGAATCATATGAAGCAAAAGTGCAGATGAAGTAGCTAATTAAATTTTGTTTATAGGTTGAAGTAGCACATTTAAAATTAAGTAAACGAGAATAAATTCTAAGCATTAAAATACTAAACTGGATGAAAATCAGGAACTCAATACAATCACAGTAATCTATTAATTTCCACAGAAACTTAACTTACCAAGCAAACACAATAAACCTCAGATAATTGATTACAGCACAAAAAATATCAAATTTCAAGCAATTAAATACTACACTAAGCAATAATCATAAGCTAAAAACAATCCAAAAACTCTTCCGCTAACAATCGCAGTAAATCAGAACTGCAAAAAAAATTTTTAAAAAATTCACCTCAAGTTTCTGAATAGCGGTGGCTTCAGAAACACCAGTAATGCTCATGAATGTCTCGATTTCTTCTTGATTAGGTCTCGCCATTTTTCCACAAAAAAATCCCCAAAATTCTGCAGAAGAAACAGAGATTCTCCGATCTTTGTAAACAACTGATTTGTGAAGGAAACGTGAAAGAGTAAAATAGATAGATAGTATTTGGGGAAACTGAAAGAGCAGAAAGGAATATAATTATAGAAGGGATTGAAATAGAAATTAGGGTGAAATTTGAGGGACTTGTAAGTAAATAAAGTGAAATTGCTTGTTCCTTCTATAATGTTCTTCAACTTCCACGACTTTGCTTGTAAAAAGTTTTATAAGGCCCTTGATTGTAAATTTGGATATCTTGGGGAATAAGTCGATTGGGGACTTATAGTGTGATTAGGCATAAATTGTAGGACCAAAAAGCTCGAAAAAGGGAAATAAAATAATCTTTGCTCCCAAGTGAAGGGATCCCTATTTTCATTTTTAAATAAGTATATACCACTAATCACTATTATTGAAATTAAAGAAATATTAGAAAATATAATTCGAATAGAACACGTTTACCCCAAACTTGAAAAAAACAGTCTTGAAACTTATTTTGAATATGTTTTTTTTACTTTCTAAAGTTGATTTTTGTGATGAAAGTTTATTATTCTAATTAGTTTTTGAAATTTTATGAATAGAATTGACCAATTTCATAAATAAGTAATGCTTTTAATTTACTTTTATAGTCTTTATAAAATGAGAACATACTCAAATAATATTGATAGAAATTATTCGCATGTTTTGTATTTTTGGTATCTTCTTTTTCGGTCTTCCAACAATATATATTTATTGTATGTACTTCATTAATTTCATGATATATGTGTTACTTTCTACCGATAATGAATACAAAATAAAGGAGTGGGGTAAAACTTATCCGCACCAGATGTTTACACCAATACAATACATACACGGCACCACGTATTTAAATTTACAATTCATTTTACTTAATCTTAATCAATTAACATATATTTACTTTATTAAATTACTTATTAATAAAAAAATTGATATAAATACTCGATGTAAATAAATTTTTTTCTAAACTAACAATACGATATTAACATATAAAATAATCACCTACTATTATTTTTTATCTATATTAGATTTATATCAAAATTTCTTCTTATAGTATGATACAGAAATAGTTTTACTTTGTTATTTCCTTTCTTTTTCCCATTTGAACGTGAGAATAAAGATTAGGTAAGCTTCAATTTTATAACCATTTTTGGTCAATTTAATTTCTATTGGCAAATACCTCACCTGATGATTTTAAAAGAGTTGTATTTTCATAATAGTCTCTAAATATGTCGATCAAATTGTGTAAGTCAATGAATTTAATGTTAAATAATTTTAATTAGTTTAATTTTTAAATAAATAAATATATAATATTTAAAAATTATTGTCATTATTTTATGTATGGATAGTGTTTTTTGGAGGAATACCCAAAAAAATATTTTTAATGAATGAATCAATTTATGCATCATATTTCATGCCTTAAAGTTGACTAACGTTTTTTACTTTTTCTGATCTTCATAAATTTTATATGCTTTAACAAAATTAGGATTATGTATTTCTTATGATATAGCAATATGTTGATATTTCAACAACTTTAAAATAATCAATAAAGAAAAATTATAAAACTCATACAAGCATTTGTTTAAATAGAGATTGAAAATATTCTTCCAAACTTTTGGAAAATCAAACTTTAAAAAGAGGAGTGTTCCACCCTTAAAAGCGCCTTTTAATTTTTATCCTCAAATTTGATAAATTTTTAATTTTTATTGGTATTATTTATTTAATATTTAATAGAAATTTAGAATACTCTTATTTATTCTAGGGGTGTTACAAGTTGATTTAGATTTATTATTATTAAAATTTAAATTAAATTAATTTTTAAATATAAAACCAACTCAAACATAATTCAAAATATATTTATTGATTTAATTGTTATCATTTTCTACCAGGTTTGATTGATTATTCAATTAATAATTATATTAAAAAATAAAATCCAAAACTATTTTAATTAGCGAACAAAGGATAACCAAACCATTCATCACTCATCACACTCGTTATGGCCCTACAAACCTTGTTGAAGAGCTTTATTTTTATCCACCAACGAGAAATCAAAATTGATTATTATTGCTTTTTATTTTATTTTGTTTGTTCAACTTCTTTATCTTAAGCTTATTTGTTTTCACAAATAAATTATAAATAAAATTTGATAGCTATATATATAATATATTTAAATTATTTTCAAAAAATATTATATTATTATAAATGCTTATGCATGTAATTGATTAGTTCAATTTAATTATTTCTTCAAGTTTTTCGAAATTAAATCATAAATATTCCTAACTACGGCTATAACTTAAATAGTAATGCTATCGGTAATCCATGAATATGTTGCGGGCGCTAGGCCCAATTAAGTGACCAAGCCCATTTAAAATCACCATACGAGTCGTCACAAGTTGGGCATTTCTCCGGTTCGAAATTCGATCGCTGCAACGCTGCTACCACAGCCATTGGAGCTGGATCTGGAAGCTCTGGTGCGGTAGCAATAATGAAAGAGGAGGAGGAGAAGAAGAATATGAAAACGAAGCCACACTTTTGGAGATGGGCAGTAGCATCAATGATCTTCAGATTAGTTCTCATTTACTTTCCCAAAAACCTTAACTTAGCTACTCGTCCAGAAGTTTCCACTCCGGTCACCAGTCTACGCCGACGTATTCAATCTTGCCGGAATTCATAATTATTCATACAGTACCTCCCTGTATAAGTATAAGTATTTTGATTAACTTTTTTTTTTTTTTTACTCTTAATAGTGGCAGAAGGTTACTGGTTAACGCAGTCATCGATGTCTCCGTATGCCGGTACGTTTCCTATATTTCTAGATTTTCAAGTGATAAGCTTAATACTCCCTTCGTTCACTTTTTAAGTGTCATATTTAGCATAAGTCAATTTGATTAATATTCGGAGATAAGCTGAATTAGATTATTTCAATATATTAAATTTGTATTTAGATATTCAAAACATACAAGTTGCAATACTTTGATGAAATTCCATCTTAACTTATTGGTAAAAGTTCATATGGTTTGACTTTGAGAAGCAAACATGACAAATAAAAGTGAACGGAGAACGGAACCCTCGGAAGAGTACTTCTTTTTTCATGATTGTTATGGTCAGAGTTTCACTTGTCTGATGCTTTGATTTTGAATGTTTTGGAAGGTTCTATGTATCATGGTTCTCCACTTCTGCTCTCGGTTCTCGGTCCGCTTACAATGAAGAAGTAAAATATTTAGCTTCAGCTAAGCATTTGTTCATACGTTCACGCTCTGTTGTTGACTTTTTCCTTTTATTGTGACTTATTTTGTTTGTTCTTGATGTTAGAATTGAAGGACAGCCTTATCATCTTCTATGCAGGTATTATCTCTTTCTTGCTTTCCACAAAAATAGAAATACTCATTTAAGGCATATATATCGGTGTGGATATATAATTAAGCTTCGCACTCGTTTAGTGATAACTTTATACATCATTGATTTTGGAAAAAACACTTAAAGAGCTTCTTACTAACTCATATACCGAAAAAAATGATTGGTTACTATAGAATCTTTATGGCTGCATCATATTAAAGATCATACAGTGATTATCTTGTGAATGGGTTCGTTAATGTTTTTCTAAGGAACTTCAGTTAATGGCATTTTCTTTTATCCTTAATTCTATATTCATTGTCCCTAGCTGTTACTATGTCAATTAAATGTGGTGAGGAGTATAAGAAGCGCACGGAGATGGAAGGGTGATGAGCATTACCATGTTGTACATATAATTAACTAAGTGAAAGCATTCAGTGTAAACGCTTAACTCTTTCGAGAAGATCCAAGTAAGAGTAATGATTCTGACTTCTAAGTAGCTTTGTATACCTGCACTCTCAAGAAGGATGGTTGGTTGACTTCCTTGAAACTTCGGGGAGCTGTTTGTAAATTATAACAAAATCTTGTTTGCTGTGGTTCTTGTTATTTCCTCAGAAGAACTGATTAAAGCACAAAAGTTGGTTTGCTGCATTATCTGCCTCCATCATCATCACTTGATAGCACTTAATTATTTCTTTCTTTACCTCCATATTTTCTTTTAAATAGAGAAGTTCCAGACTAGGTGTGTGGGGTGGGGTGGCTGAATGTGCTTTAGTAGTATGATGATGAAAGGGTATTATTGAGTATGGTTATCAAAAAAAATAAGTTTCTTAGATTGTACAGAGAGTTTTCCTATGGAAAAATTAGACTTATTGGACAAACCAAATAAACAAGACACTTAGCCTGAGACAGAGGTCATACTGCTTGAAACGAGTTACCTGCATGTAACATGTTTCCATGTTTGCATTACTTCAATGCTAAATAATATTTTGTCCTGTTAATCTTGCCTGAGACTATAAAATTTGCAGATAGAAAAGATTTCATGTTGAGTTTTATCTGTTACTTGCTCATGCAGCATTATTTCTGAGTAGCTCTTTCAAAATTATGAAGTCACATGGACATTCAACCAATTTTTGGATATAGTTTGGTTTCTGTGATTGCAGATTTCATCTCTGCCATGCTAATCCGGGCAACTGGCCTTAAACTTCGCATGGCATATTGTGAGAGATTAAAATCGCTGGGTTTGGGGAAGCTCTTTGAAATTTCTGGTGAATATTCAGCTTTAATGTCGAAATTTATTTGCTTCTTCACTAGTTAATGATGCAATAACCCCTTGTTTCAGAGATTCTACCATCGGAGGACATTGCAGCTCTTGTGTACTTGTGGAACCCTTTAACCATAGTCACATGTGTGGGTTTCAATACAACCCCTGTGGAAAATCTTTTTATTATCTTGTCACTTTATGGAGCCTGCATCCGTAAGAAGTCAATAATCCTTTTTATATGTTAGTGATTTTTTTCTTTTCTTCTTTTTATATAGTTTACTCGCCACTCCATTTATCTTTATGCTTTTATTGAAGGGGAAACTAGGCATATTTGTCCCTTCCTTCTTGGTGCTCTTGATAGGACATGCTCTTTGATTTTCACTTGTTGTAGTGAATATAGCTTTTCGTTTTCCTTTTCAAAAAGAGAATTTCTTATGGTGCTTGTATATGAACTGATTAATTTACTC